CGGGGTTCTGACCCGAGGCCGGAAGGCTTGCGTCGGCCGGGCCTGTCCTCAGGCCTCCGCGCCCCCGAGAAGCCCGACGTCCTCCCCATGATCAGGCAGAAAGTGGAATAAACCGTCAGACACGCACGCACGCGTGCTGGGTCCGTGGTGCGGGAGGACCGGAGCCGGACATGGGGCTCCGCGTCTTCCTTTCTGATCACGAGGCCTCGGTTGAGGCCGTGGTGGGGCCCGGATTCACCACCTGTCAGGCTCTGGAGGATGTGGATTGGATCCTTGGCTGCTTTTATTCCGACTCTGTCTCCCGTGTGTGCGTCTGTGAAAACTGAGAGAGCAGATGTGAGATCTGAGGGAAAAAAGGCACTAAATTCAAAATAACACAGTTGTTTTTCTTTAAAGAAAATACAGGAAAACCTTTTCCTTTTATTTTTCTTCTTGGCTTCTCCATTGTCTGATTCAGGAAAACAGGAAGGCTCTGATTTCTAGCAGCTGCAAAACGCTGTAACGTCCCCTACGTGTTCCGTCGCTGAAACAATAGGGCTCGCTTGGGAATCTGAGATTTAATCCCTGAAAACATCTGTCTTCTCGGGCTGTGAAAGCTGCACCTCACATCTGTGTGATCTGTGGAGTCTGTCCACCAAAAAAAAGAGGGACTCTCCGCAGAGTCCAGCACCTAAATGCACCCGAGCCCCGTGACTGACACACACCGAAGTGCTCGTTGGAGAGCGAGCGTGTTTCGGTCTGTTCTTGGAGATAAAGCCCATGTGTTTTAGGAGGAAACTCTGAAAGTCCTTTCTCGCATTGTCCCTCTTATCTGCAAGGTGGCCAGCGCTTCCTTTCAGCAGATTTGCCACCGGCCTCCTGGGCTGACGCTGTTTTTGCCTATTTCGCTCAAGCCTGAGTTAGACGGAGGCCAGGCCTCGCTCCGGGACGCTGGGTGCGACTGCAGAGGCCAGCAACTGCTCCGGAGCGTGGGCGCTAAGTCCGAACGCCAGCCTCTCTGAGTGTGTGTGTTTGAGGCTTGTCCCCTGATGCTGGGGTCGCGGGCTTGCTGGGCGGGGTCGGGGCTGCGCCACAGGGCCCTCAGGCCTCTAAGAAGCTGGGTGGCTCCCGGGTCCGCCTCACAGGGGAGTGGCTTGTCATCCTTTGTGCTTTGTTACGCGCCTATACTAATAAACTCTGAAATACATTGTCGTTGACTTGTTCTAATATGTTTATTTTCTTTCTTAAAAATTTTTAAAAAATTAAAAAATTTAATTAAAATAATTTTTTAATTAATTTTTTAAAATGGAGGCACTAGGGATGGAACCCAGGGCCTCGTGCATGCTAAGCATGTGCTCTGCCCTGAGCTCTGCCCTCCTGCCCTTGATGTGTTTCATAATAGCTCAAAATACACGGCACAACTTCTGTGTCCCTCCTCGAAGACACCTTGATGGCCCAGTTTCTGCATCTCCCCTGCACCAGAGGCGACACTGGCCCAGGGTGCCCAGGCGTGGGGAGGCACCGCCCTCCTGCCCTTGGCACTCTGCCCTGGGGCCATGGACACCGGAGGGGCTGGCGGGCAGTGGGTCCAGGGCCCCACTGCTGAGACCCAGGCCTGAGTCAGGCTTGCAGACTTTGCCTTCCGTCCCCGAGCAGTGTGGTGTCTCCACCTCCCCCTTGGCACCCTGCATCTTTTTAGCTGTGCAGGTGACACCTGGTGCGGGATTAAACACCTCCAGTTGGTGCGACGTGTAGACAGTGGTCTGTAATTATCATTGGAGCGTTTATCACCACTTGGTCAGCAAACCTTTCTCAGCTGATCTGAGTGGTCGGGTAGGCAGCACAATCGCTCGTTGCTGGGCTGCGGGAATCTCGCTGAGCCCGGAGGCGGGGGTGGCAGCTGGCGGTCAGTCTCCAGTCCACCTGCTTCTCAGCCTGTGCGTTTGGTAAGAACGGGGCTTACATGGGTAAAGGGCTCTGCTGTGAGGCCGATGGCCCAGGCACCTGCGCAACAGTCATCATTCGGGACTGGACGACGCTGATCCGGGAGGGGTCTAGCCACTGACTAAGCACATTTGGAAATTACATCTTAGCACGAAGAGCCCTGGCTGCTCCTCTCCCTACCACACGCATGCACAGCACCACAGACACACTCAGGGAAGCTCCCTCTGCACGCGCAATTCTAATGTCCTCCTGTTCTACACGGAAAAACCTGAGGCCAGGGCTTCCTGACTCACGGCAAGAGCCCATGAGTAGAAGTGCCGATTGTTTTGAGGAACAGTTGGTTTACAATGTTGTGTTAGTTTCACACAGGCCCAGCCCAGTGATTGGTTGCGCACATAGATCCCCCTTCCTTTTCTTTTCATTATAGGCCATTACAGGGTATTGAATACAAGCCCCTGGGCTGCACAGCAGGGCCCTGCTGTTTATCCATTTTATACACAGTGGTTTGTATCTGCGAATCCCGAACTTCCAATATATCCCTCCACCCGCTTCCCCCCCAACCCGTAACTGTAAGTTTGTTTTCAATGTTTGTGAGTCTGTCTCTCTTTTGTAAATAAGCCGTCACATTTTAGCAGGGATTCCTCCTGGTGACCTGCTATCTGCTCACTAAATCGATGGAAATGCTAGTAAATCTTTCAAACAGAATTCACTCACAAAAAAATCAATTTACGCAGAACTGCGTCTACCTCTCAACACAAGCACGTTTCTAACAGAGAACAAGCAGGCGGCCGCAGCAGCGTCACCGCGAGCTCCCGCGTCCTCGGCGGGAACTGAGGGAGCGGGTCCGGGTCTCAGCCACTCCTGGTTACGTTCAGTAAGAGGAGGCAGAGGTAACGCCCCACGAAAAGCCTCGTCCAGCCTCCCCCCGAAGGATGTGCTGACTTTACAGCCGCTGAAGGAGAGAAGACTGGCCCCCTCTCCTTTACAGCCCGGCCCCCATGGGAGGCGTGAAGGGCTGGGCGGTGCGAGGAGGAGACCCGCCGGGCTGGCCCGGGGCCCACAGGCGCTCGCGGGAGCTTGATCCGCGGGGACGCTCTTCCCAGGGCAGCCTGCACACCCTCGCCCGAGTCCCAGGTGCCCACAGCCGGAGCTCACCACTCGCTGCTGCCCGGGTTCCATTTGCTGGGCCTTTATTTCGGGTTCATCCCCGTTGACTGGGATGTTGGTCCTCTCTTGTGGTTGAAATTGGTCTATAGAATTCAACTGTGGGGAAGGAGGGAGGGGGGAGGGAGGGGGGAAGGAGGGAGGGGGAGGGAGAGGGGAGGGAGGCGATGGGGAGGAGGGAGGAGGGTAAACAGAGACGGGGGAAGGGCAGGAGGGGAAGGGAAGGAAACTGGGAGGGGGTGCCCAGATGAAGGTCAAGTCGATGGTCAAGGGGCCCCTCCTACACACACACACACACACACACGCACTCACAAGAACTGCTCAAAACCTCTCTGCCGTCCCCAGAGATTGTGCCCCTGAGCCCCGCCGCCCCTCCTCCTGGGTATCGGAGGGCAGGTCCCATGCCTGCTCCTTCATGGGCCCCACTGGGCCTTCCCCACTCCGTCCTGGTCACAGCGATGCGCTCATGTGCACTGGAGGAGGCGTGGTTCTACCTGGTCGTCAGCGGCTACTTCTCCACCGGACTCACTCACAGTGATGGGAACGTCAGTGGTGCCACTTCGTCGAAGTCAGTCTCTTAGAAAGTTAAACACACGCACATGACCTAGCAATTCCACTCTTGGACTTTTGCTCAAGGACAGCGAAACCATGACCCTCACGACTTGGCCACAAGTTACTCACGAGAGGTTTATTTATAGAGCCTGGACCAGAAAACGCCCAGCTAGTCATCAGCCGGGCTTGGATAAAGGCTGCCACTTATCCGCACAGTGGGACACTCCTCAACTAAAGACTTTGATGTGCGCACAATGACACATTTCAAAACCACCGTGTACAAAGTAAGCCAGACACAGCAGGGTGGGCCCCGCAGGGTCCCCTGCCTCTGAAGTTCTGCGGTAGGTGACACTAATGTGCAGTAAAGGAGGAAGCTCGGGGGCTGTGTGAGCGGCGAGCGGGGACTGGCTACTAAGGACTTGAGGGACTCCCTGAACGGGAACGCTCTGCGTCATGACTGGCTGGTGGTCACGTCGGGGTTCGCGTTGGTCAGAAGCCCTCAGACCATGCACGTAAAGTGGGCTCATTTCCTTGTGTGACTTGCACCCCAGTATAGCTGACTTTAGACCCCTGCTTTTGCATGTTATGTAGAAAACAGAGGTTTCCAAGTTGTGGCCAGTATTTTTTGTGGAACAGGGGAATGTGACCGCCTCGGACGTCACTATTTCAGCGGTAACAAAAGACGGATGAGTGTACGGGCTTGTACTCTGCATGCCTCCAGCGCTGGTTGCTTGTCGCAGCCCTGCGCTCAGCTGTTACGATCGGGGAGGCACCCTTCCTGGGACCAATGTCCCTACCTGGCTCCAGGGCAGCGCAGAAATCGTTCACACCCTCCGTTTCACTGGCCTCCACGGAAACATTCATGTACACCCTGAGGACGGGGTCTCCCCTGTCTGCTCCCCGCCGCGCCCCAACCCCACGCTGAGGGTTCACTTTTCAAACCCACAGTGCCCTGTTCCTTCTCCCCCCTCCACCTTCAAGGCACCCGCCTGCGTCTCCTCCTGCGCGACGGCCACAGGCAGACCTGCCCCGGGTCTTTAGTCCTGTACTTCCAGGGGAGCGTCTTTACTGTGGAAACCACCTTTCCTGTCATTTGAATTTGTAAGTAAAAGCAGCCTCGGCAAAACTCCGGGTGCGGCAGACGCCAGGTCTGAAGTGAGACCGGTGTGCGTGGCAGCGTCAGGGCCTGCCTTTAAGAGACTTTTCTCATCGCGCAGAAGAGACCAGATGCCCGGAGCAGCCCTGCTGCTCCCAGAGCCTGGATTTGAGGCTTACTGGTCTGTGGCTGGAATGAAACGCTGTTAACTTTTGCTACGTGCTGAGTGGTGTTCGCAGAGGACATGTATTCTTCTCGAGAAAGAGGATTCATTTGTTATTTCAAAATTTGGAGCCACGTTGTCTGGAACCCACTCGGGTGTTAGCTCGACAGACGAGCAAACAGACCAGAAGAAATAAACAAAGGCCCGGTGAGCGGTGTGTCCCCCCACCCCCCGCAGCAGGTGCCAGGGCCAGGACCTGCAGAGAAACCCGGGCGGCCCTCCAGGCCCTTGCTCTGCTTCCAGACCAGCGACCTTCTGAGCGTGGATGGAGGATCACAGAGGGAGACACGGCTCCTCCTGTTTATTTTGTGTATAAAGTGTGTCGTTCAAAGAGATGGCCTTTTTTGACCCCAAATCATAAAGAAAATGAAGGCAGAGGAAGTTTGGCCTTTTAAGTCTCCTTTCACTCCAAGTGAAATCTGTTAAGAGTTAGTTTAAGACAGACCAGTAGACACAGAGCCGGCGGGAGGGGCTGGGAAGGGGGACGTGGGTGTGCGTATGTGTGTGTGCGTGCGTGCACATGTGTTTGCGTGCATGCACGTGTGCTTGTGTGTATGTGTGCACGTGTGTGTGTGTGTGCGTGCCTGTGTGTATGTGTGTGTGAGACATCACAGAACAATGGCTGTGAGCCACATCTCACAGACAGGAACACGCCAATCAATGGACTTTAAAATCCAAGCCAGTTGCTAAACAGAAAGGAACTGCGTGCTGGAAGTTATCTGGTCTGTCTCCACCTACATGGCCATCTGCCTTCGGCCAAAGGGCCCTCCCGGGCTGCCCCACCCCTGCACGCCCCATCCCTCAGCTTCCACAAGGCCAGGTCTGACCGCCCTGCCACCCGGCTCCCTGTGAGACTCGTGCGGCACCCGGGGCCTCAGCAGCCCCGCGCAGCCCCGGGAGGACCGTAGTCTTGGAAGGTTGGTCCTTGGGGACCAAGTGACAGAGGGAGAGCAGACGTGGCAGACAGCACGGACAGCGGAGCTGATGGAGCCGGTGAGGCTCCTGCCTCGGAGAGAGAGTCATCACTTGACAGACACTTCAGCTTTCACACTGTGCGCAGAGTACAGGGTATAGGACGTGGCTGTACCTCCAGGGAGCTTGTCCACCTACTGAGGAGATGACACAGACGCACCGAGAAGAAAACAAACACAGGGCGATGATCACGAACGCGTTCGCCTCCTCGTCTGCACAGCGGGGACATGAGTCACTTCGATGCTTGTTTGTCGTGAGGATTCAATGGAATGGTCTCCGTCACATACTTAACGTGGCACCTGGCACGGGTAAGGGGTCAGAAAATGGAATGAATGAGTGAAACGGACACACAGCCGAGGTCCGACACGTGCTAGCCAAAAAGGCTGCAGCGCCTGGCAAGGAGATGGGGCGGAGACGCGGGGAGCCTCCGTCAGAGATCCCCGCAGACGAGCTTTATAACTCGCCCAAGAAAGGCAGCTCTCCAGGCCCGGCTGGAGGCAAAGGAGGGGTCTCCACAGCACCGCCCGGCACCCAGCGCACGGGCCGCTGATGGAGAGCCTTCAGGAGGAGCTCTGCCCTTGCCGCTGGAGTTCAATGACAAGGCGCCAGGACCTGGCCAGCCTGGGTGTCAGAATTCTCGGATAAAAAATGCCGTTGTAGATTTTGCCAAGTGAGAGGAATCTGAAGAAGAATGCGGCCCCAAACCACTACTGCCAGTGAGATCCATGCACTCACCCCATTTGATCAGGAAATGCAGCCTTGGTGCCTGCACCAAGGACGTCAAGGCAGACCCATCCCCACCCTCCACAGCACCGCGCCAGGACTGCGCTTCCCCAGAGGGATGCGGCCCGGGCGCTGCTGGCGCTCTCAGGAC